ATCAATTGGTTACAGGTCGATAGGATTGGCGTGGTTGGTTGAATTAGTTTGTCTATCAACAACAAATAATAGATGGGGGAGCTTCCAAGCAACCTCGTTATTATTGGGGATGTTGAGGGGCTAGATTTTCCCTCGAGTTAGCTTCTTCCACGACGGTCAACTTTAATTTCTCTTTATCTTGTTTCTGAGTCCCAAGTGTGAAATCAATCATCCATCTAATCATTCTCATCTTTGCAACACTTAATTTAATTTTATACTTCTTTTTGAAATGCCAACATTTAGCTTCATAAAGCATTGCAGGTCTCACCATATTATAAAATATTCCATTCAATTTATTCCTCCACCTCAACCAACCAACTATAATTCTACTAATAACATCCTTACCAATATCGAAAAAATATTATCTCAGGTCAGTACTCCAATCGGGAGGTGTCACGTATGCAATGTTTCTACCATAATATCATGTGACACCTTCTTATTGGAGTATTGAAACATTAGTACTCCTGAGGTAATATTTTTTCATCAATATCATCATCAATTTGAGCGAGAGACTCAAGATATCTAAAAAGCTCAAATCTTTTAATAAATTGATCGCCTATAGATACATTTCTGTAACGAGAACTACTACTTAAATTATATATCATGTATTCAGTTTTAGTTCTACTCAAACGAAGGCCAAAGTAATCCTCTACAATTTATGTTTTTCCTGTTTTTTCTCTGTCTTATCCACGAGAAGGATATTATCAGCAAAAAACATACACCAATGTACCTCCTCTTATAAGTGCCCAATAAGACCATTCATAACTAAAGCAAAAAGATACGGGCCTAAAGTCGTTCCTTGATGAAAACCAACAAAAAATAGAGAAAAATTTGATCTTCTCTTTCCTGTTCGAACACATGTAAAAACTCTTATATGCATATCTTTAATAACTTGAATATAAGTCATATCAATACCTTTCTTCTCAAGAAGAATATCTCTTAGAATCTTATCGTAAGTTTTTTCTAAATTAATAAAAATCATAAGTAGATCATTCTTATTTTCTCTGAACATCTCCATCAAACATCTCAATAAATATATAAAAATTAAAATCTACATGAGAATTGAGAACTTCACATTTTATATTTATATCACACCAAATTTTTTATATTCTATAAAAATATCTTTTTTACTTTGCCATGGTGTGCAACATCAATATATTTTTTCATGCATTGTAAGAAACAGGTTGCTGGCACACTTAAATGCAGTTGCTGGGTATGTGTGCAAATCTTCCATTAATGATGCTTGCCGCGAAATTGCCTCCCAGCTAGCATGAAAAATGACGTTACAGCGCATGTCCGAAGCTTTATTTATTTATTTATTTATTTTTCTGTTTTTGTTAAACGGGAAGTCTGAGATAATCTTAAAGAAATTACTTGCATAATAATAATTTATTTGACATAATTTATTAAATGTGCTTTTATAATAAAAAAAATTGTTACTTGCATTATTTTAATTAAAGGATTAAGCATGAAATTATCGCTCTTAAGTGCGTATTAATACTCTATTTTTATATGTAGTTGGATAATTAGAGGCTGACACATGACTACTTCAGACATAAAAATAAATGAGACCCTAATTGAATATTATAGCCAAAGCTAGAATTTAAGGACTATTCTTGTAAGATATGACCTTATTTTTTTATTCATTCGACTGGGCTTCAATGGCTTCGGTTTGGCGAGGCCAATTCGATCGGTTGGGCATAGTCGGTGTTGCCAAGCGACTGAGATCAATTGGTTACAGGTCGATAGGATTGGCGTGGTTGGTTGAATTAGTTTGTCTATCAACAACAAATAATAGATGGGGGAGCTTCCAAGCAACCTCGTTATTATTGGGGATGTTGAGGGGCTAGATTTTCCCTCGAGTTAGCTTCTTCCACGACGGTCAACTTTAATTTCTCTTTATCTTGTTTCTGATAGAACGACTCGAATTTGACTATCTTTTTGACTCGGTCTGCATTACCCATGCTTGCTCTGGCTCTAACGGCTGCATATGATCGGATAAGTCAGGCCTTCTGCTTTTCTATCGTTGAGCCCAATTTTGTCGTACTCTCATCTTTCTGGACTATTAGACCTCCTTAGGATCTACGTGGACGCATTTTCGATGCATATTTGCCTTAATAATTAGATTAAATTTATTATTTATTTTTGAAGCATTTTGCATTTACAATTCCTATGTATTTACATATATAACACCTAAACTTTAGTTTTACATTTATAGATCCAAATCATTCATACCACTTCAAAATACTACCATTTTAAAATAAAAAAAAAAGAGGTTAAATACACATTCTCATGCACATGTGAGGTGGCCTGTATGTAAAAATTGAAGTTTAGGTGCTACACATGTAAATAGGTAGGAATTGAGGGGTATGTATGTAAATCTTTGTTTTTTTTTTGTAATAACAATTTAGGTGTCATCATTTTATGTATTAATTTCTGTAGGAAGAAGCATCAATGTGATAAATTTCAGATAAATTCACATATTTTCAAAGTTAAATAGTATAAATTGCTTTTATATTTTGTTATGATTAAGATGCTTATCAAGGACCAACTTGAAGAAGGCTGTTTATGTTTTGTTTTATGAAGAAAATTGCATGCATATCACTCCATTCTTATGTATTTTTGGCTTAATACATATCTAGCACCTAAACGACATTTTTTCCTATATGTTATTGTATTTATGCATGAAAAATGCATTTCACTTCTAAGAAAAAAGTATATATTTGCTGAGAAATTAGGTTGAAGAAGAATAGGAATCGACACAAATTCAGAAGAACACCAAGATTTAACGATGTTCGGCAAAGATGCCTACGTCTTCGGAAGCAGAGCGGCGGCTTTTCCACTAATTCAGAAAAAAAGTACAGAATACAAAATATTGTTGTTATTACGAGATCTACACCAACCAATTGTGGTATATAGAATAAAAATAGAAGAACGATCTTTAAAGCGAAAAATAGAACGAGAAAATTCACACCAGAAAACAGTAACACACAGATTTATATGGTTCTGCAAATTGCCTGCGTCCACGGAGTTGCAGAGGATTTTACTACTTGAGGAATTTACACCGATCGATCACATCGACTTACAAAAAGGATTCTCTCACTCTTCGTTGCTCTATCTCTTCTTCTCTCTCTGTTCTTCTCTCTCTACACCGAGATGTATCGAAGAAGAAACACATACAAGAGAAATAAACTCAATTTCTCTTCTGCCACAAACCACCAAGAAGAAGCATAGAGAGAACAATTTTCTTCTTCTTTCTTCTTCTTTCCTCTGCTTCTCTTTGCACTTCTCTTCCTCTATCCCGAGGAAACCTTCCTCTATTCCGACGAAACCGAAGAGGAACTCAAAGCGTGACTACAAAACCCAAGGAGAGTCATCCGAAGCTTTTATCACGAACATGAGGGAGCGAAAAGATGTTTCACTTCTCAAAAGAAGAAGACGAGAGTGATTATTTGTGAAGAGGTGTGACTCTTCAAAGTAAAGTAACCACCCAAGCATAGTGGACCGGGCTCCACCGCTTCTAACAAATATGAGATAACACATAGGGTTATATACAGATCTATTTATAACCTTAGACAGAACAATAAATGAAACCTTGATTACAATATGTAATAATCAAATTATCTCTGTACCACACCCCAAACCCACATAAGGAAACTCCCCTGTTTTGGACAGAATCTTCCGCTCTGCTCCGCTCCACTCCGGCATCTGTCCCTTTATGGTATATGAGTCATATCTAACAATATTTGATTTTTAAAATATAAAAAAAAGTGATATTTATGACGTGTTGTGAATTATTTTAATGGTATAAGTAAATACATAAGAATTGGGTATCTGTATGTAAATTCCACCAATTTAAATTCTATTTTTATTTCTAAATTTAAATAATTTTCAATATAAAAAATCATCAAAAGAAAAAAAAATGCGTAAATTACATATCCATCTTAAATTCACCGAAAATTCGTGCATTGTTTAAGCCCTATGGGATGCTTTTTTTACCATATCCTGTTCTTATTTTAAATGATAAAAATTTTAAATTATTTTCTAAATTTAAAACGCCCCATAAAATTTTTCATATTATTTTAAAATGAGTAAAATCTCAAAATAGTTACAGACTATTTACATGGAACATTTTTCAAAAGTTTCTAGAATTGCCAACATAGTAAATAGATCTCTAATAATCCTCCAAAAGGATTATTTTGGGGATTATTTTAACATTTATAAAAACTCTAAGATTAATGGTCTGTTTGAGACAATTGCAGCTTATGAATAAGTTGTTGCCCCAAGTAGTTGCTACGAATTACCGAATTACCTGACTGGTTGTTTATCTTTTACAGTTTGAAAACAACTATGTTGCAGCTGTTTATAGACAGATGACATTTCTACTCGTATATAGTAATATTATTTGTAGCAGAACTGTTATATCAGCATATTTAATATTTGAGAAGTAAAAATTCAATAAAAAAATAATCCATATACCTCACTTTTGCCTTGACATTTTATTTATTTTAAAATTTATATTTACTAATTTTTATGAGAATTATTTTAATTCTAATTTTAAAAAGTCTTTCAACTATTTTGAGGATTTTATAAAATCTCGGAACTGAAAGGAGCCCATAAATAATTGGAAGTTATTTTTGAAATTTACCCTTGTTGCAAATGGGCACATACGATTGCATCCATGACACGTGACATAAGCCACGTGATGTAGATGCGCATAATGAAAGTGACTTGTGGGTCCCTGGCCGGTCCTCTAGTTGAGAGACACGTGTAAATCTGATCGAGCAAGTTGGTGCCGGCTTAACTGTTGCGGGCCGCACGGCAGATTATATATATCGACGCGTGGCACTCATACGCT